GTCTTCCTTGTAGAATGGCAGAGCCTCAGGGAGTGTTTGGTTTTTAAACTATGTTTTCATTGTTCCTTTGGTTTCCCGGCTTCTAGACCAGTGCTGGGCACCCAGCAAGCGTCTGTCAGTGTTCCTCAGGTGACACGTCTCAGCTGAGAATGGGACCTTCCCCTGGGAAAGAGCACCTTGAGCGCCCTCCTGCTTCAGGCCTGGCTCCCTCCCCCGCCCCCGGCGGCTCACAGGGTGCTTTCCCCAAAGCAGAGCCCGTCCAGGCCACTCCTCTGAGTCGCTCCCTATTGCCCCCCAATCCCTTAGTAGGACTTGCATGCTCTGCGGGAGCTGCGCCATGCTTCGCTCACCAGTGTCACTTTGCCACAGACACCGTGCTCCAGCACCCAGAGTCCCTCCCAGGGGCATGTCATTGTCACCATTCCTGCTTTCTGGACTCCCGCCCTCCTCCCCTCCCCCCTCCTGTGGCTGACCCACTCGGCCCTTTCAGGGGTCTCAGTTGGAGGACCCCCACCTGCAGGAAGCCCTCCTGACTTTCTCTGGCCTGCACCACCGTTCCTTCTCCCTCCCCTGGGTCATCCCTTTCCACCTTCTTACAGACCGCGGTTTCCATTCAGCAGGACTCACCCCTTGGGTGGACTTTTCTGTGAGGTTTGGCAAATTATGAAGTTGGGTGATTCTACCATAGTGACAACGAAAAAGCAAACAAACTAAACAACCTAACAACTGCCCCCCCAGCTCTCCCCCAGCTCCTCTGCGGCAGCCGGGCCCCCAGCCCAGCCCCTGGCGTCCACGGCCCCTGTCTACACTGTCGTCCTTCCTGAAGGCCACGTGAGTAGAATCAGGCTCTCCCCAGCCTCTTGCTGCTGGGTCTTCCCTTAGCATCACGCTGCGAGCTCCTCGAGCTGTGCTGGTCGTGACTTTCCCGGCCGAGGGCTGCGTCTTTGGTGCGTGTTTGTTTATCCACTCAGGAGCCGGCAGACGTGGGAATCTCCGCTCTTCAGTGATATGAATGAAGCTACTGTAAACATTACCGTCGGATTTCGCATGGACACGTTTCCATTTCCCTTGGGTCAACACAGGTGAGATGGCTGGGGCCTGTGGGAAGTGTGTGTCTAACTTTTTAAGAAACTGCCCTCTGTTTCCCCACGAGGCCGCCCCCGCTCACATCCCCAGCTGCTTGGCATCCCACCTGCACTGGGCACGGTCAGCGGTCATGTTGGCCCTTTCAGTGGGTGTGGAGTCAGCTGCTTCCCACTGGCCTCTTCCACCAGTCTGTGGCCTCCTGACAGAATGCATCTTTGTTATCCCCAGACCCTAGAGGAGCGACAGACTTGTAGTAGGTGCTCAGTAAATGCTGTGGACTGACGGAACCAATCTATTGAATGAGTGATCAAGTGAAATGGTAGTTAAGGGGAGTTTGTCTCTGATGCCATGGCTGGGGGCCTTTGATGACAGCTGTTACATCCTCCGGAGCCCAGCAGTGCCCGGCTCCTCACAGGCGTTCAGCAAGTGTTTGTTGACTGAGTGAACTGACTTTGTCCCATTATCCCACACGTGGAACACCTATAAAAACTAGTATATAATTATATACTAATAACATAATTATATTTAACATAGTATTAATCACTATGATATATAAGCTCTAGATTATGATTCCCAATCCATTTTAATGCACCTTTTAATGCAACATTTTTTGTTGAAATATTTGCAGAATTGGAAACTTGGGACCGAATGGGTTAAAGGGCCCAGCAGGACCCCAGGCTTAAGAAGCTCCGTGGAAGACCCAGAGGCTCTTCCACGCAGGCAGGCCTGGGCTCCAGCAGCCAAGGGGGCTGTTCTGATGCGCAGGCTGGAGGCAGGCCCAGCGTGACCCTACTGAGGTCTGCTGGGTTCTGGGTGGTGCTTCCTCTCACAGACCTGCCAGCCGGCTGCTGGGACTCGCCTTGTCCCCAGGGGAGGGGCACACGTCTCTGAACAATGCCGGGAAAGGAAACCAGGCTCAGGGGCTCTTGGGGGTTTCTGAGGCCAAAGGGGTAAGGTTGGTGAGGTTCCCTGGGCCGGGATGGTGACCTCAGCCTGGCCACTGCCTTCCGTGGTGGAGACTGGAGTCCAGGATGGGAAGATTCCCCAGTAAAATAATGACCATGACAACCAGCCGCTGTTGCTCATTGTCACCCTCACTCTGGGTCATTCATTATTTTCAAGTCTTTAACTTATAAGGGAAGGGTTTGAAAGACTTTATTGAGATAGTTCACAGCTGGGCGTGGTGCTGCACACCTAGCATCCCAGTGACTTGGGAGGCTGAGGCTGGAGGATCACAAGTTTGAGGTCAGCCTCAGCAACTTAGTGAGGCTCTAAGAAACTTAGTGAGAATGTGTCTCAAAAATTAAAAAGGGCCGGGGATGTGTCTCAGTGGTAAAGCGACCCTGGGTTTAGGCCCCAATCCCCTCACTCTCATTAAGATAGTATAATTCACATACCACACAGTTAACCCATTCCAGTGTACATTCCAATGGCTTTCGTTTAACCATCACTGTGGTCAATTCTAGAACATTTTCACTACGCCAAAGAGAGATCCTGTACACCTTCTCCATCACCCCTCAATACCCTCCATACCCACCTACTCCTTGGCAACCGCTAATCTATTTTATGTCTCTATAGATTTGCTAATTCTGCATATTCCAAAGGTAGGTGTTATGGTGGGGAAATTGGGAGTTTCAGAGAGTGTCACTGAGCAGGGAGCAGGTCAAAGTCACACAGCTAAGGAAGAGGCGGATCTGGGACTTGAGCTTAGATCCCCTGCAGAGTGCCCCCCATTATCCCTTGGAAAATAAAGAAGAAAAGAATTAAAAATATGGATTTTTTTCTTCTCGTAGCAATGATATTAAAAATAGCCAGCGCTGTTTGTGGTGGGCCTTTAACTCCATCATCTCACTCAATCCTTATGCTCACCCTTGGATGTGGGTTGTGGTGATACCTGTTTCTTTTTTTAAAAAATCTTTATTTATTTTTAGTCGTAGTTGAATACAATTTATTTATTTATTTGTTTTTATGTGGTGCTGCGGATGGAACCCAGGGCCTTGCCCATGGTAGGCGAGCGCTCTACCGCTGAGCCACAACCCCAGCCCCGTGATGCCCACTTCGAAGAGAAGAAATTGGAGCACAGAGAGGCTAATGGTCCAGTGTACCAGGGCCACCAGCAAACAGAAGAGGGAGGTGGGGGAAAGCATGTGTGTACCTGAGGGCAGGTGAGGGGTGCAGAATAAAAGGAGCCGAGTTAACGTGGATGAACGGGACTTTTCTCTCAGGTTATTTCCCCTGCCCTCCTCCTCCTCCTCCTCCTTTCTTTTTATAGGAAAAGGAAAAGAAAGTTCCCTCCACCCTTTGAGGTCACTTCCTGACCCATTCATTAACTTGTGGGGTGGTTCCAAACTCATGACTCCCTGCCCTAGCACCTCCTATTAATGCTGGGGCTGGGCAAAGGGTCAGGTGCCCGCGGGCTCTGGCACCAGACTCTAGTTCAAGTCCTGCCTCTACCACCCACTGACCTAACACCTGGGGCCCAGGACAGCTACCTGCATGCCTGAATGTGCAGAGTGCCCCCCTCCATTATCCCTTGGAAAATAAATATCATTTTATGTTTGAAACCTCCCAGAGCTGGGGCTGACCTTTCAATTATTTTTATTTTAAACAACCAAATGGAAGTTTGAGGAAGAGATGAGGAGCCCGGCACACTCCCATTCCTTGCTCTGCATTCCTTCAGTTGTTCACCTTGGTGTGGGTGGGGAGAGGGTCATTAAAAAGTGAGGCAAAGAAGAAAAGAATTAAAAATATGAAGAAAAAGGAAAAGCAAACTGGGGTTACCATACCCACCGCCTCATGCACCGTGGGCATCTGAAGTCCAGAAATTTTGCTGTAGGCTTCAGTCAGGACGAAAACTGCGGCATGTTTCATATGTTCTCTTCTTGCTTGGCTCCCAGTGAGGGGAGAAAATTCCAACTGAAATTAATTAGCCTCTTCCAGGTCAGTTCCTCATATACATAAGCAGGTTTGTATTAATGAGTTACACAGGTGTGACTTAGCTAATACTTTATGCACATTGCAAAATATGAGCCAAACCAGAAGTGCTGTTTATAGGATTGATTGAAATAAAGAAGTTCAAATTCCAATAAAAAACAAGGGGCGAATTTCAGTCAGATTTGGCCATGATTCCTGGGGAACTGGCTCCATGGTCTCAAGTGGTTGATATCTAGAAAGCAGTAGACCTGTGGGAACTAACCCTGGTTCTCGCCCCAGTCACAAGGTAAGCCAAGGGTCCCCGGAGCAGCACAAATCCAGTGACTTCCGATACAGCATTTACAATGAGAGGACAGTCGTGGATTCAGAGATGCTGTGACCCAAGCAACTTAGAAGTGCAATTGGAGTGCCCTGGCAGCTCTGAAGGTGACTTAAAGCCACCCAGAGGATACTTCCATCAAATGTGCGTAGGAAGGGTTTGAAATGGAAAAAAGCAAGTTTTTTCCTGAAGAATATTTACATTCTCATTGGGCAAATGGGGCATCAATTATATCTGGTGTTCTTTGTTCCTTACAACACATCTTTGGTACTGGCACTACTTTGATCACGTTTTGCAGAAAGGGAAACTGAAGCTGCGGTACTTAAGTGACCGCCTTAGGGTAGTAACAGGTGCTCCGACTCCAGCGCAGCCTCTGGAAGGGCGATTAGGAGAGTTCACCAAGTGCGTGCCACACGTGCAGCAGGAGCCCTATAAGTGCTACATTGGTGGGGAATTCTCTCTCCACCTGGCCAAGTGACAGGGGCAGACAGGTAGCCTCCTCGCTGCCTCAGTTTCTCCCTCTGCGGGCCCAGGTGGGCTCCAGGCAGGGGCGCTGCGCTGGGGCGCTCGGGGAGGCGGGCGGGTCTGGGCCCGCCTCGGACCGGGGCGGCGAGGGGGACGGCCCCGCGGAGTCACGTGGCGCGGGCCGCAGCCGAAGCAGAAGTGGGAGCGCGGCGGCGGCGGCGGGGTGCGCTGCAGGGAGTGCCAGATCCGCGGCGGACGGCTCGCGGGACCCCGGAGTCCCGGAGCCCCGACCCGCGGCGAGCGGGCGGCTGCGCCCCGGCGGCCGGCCAGGTGAGCGCCCGGCAGGGCGGGAGCGCACGCGGGACACCCGGGACCTGCGCCTGGAGACCTGCGTCCCGGGGGCACCCGCGCACGGTGGGCAGCGTCTCGTGGGGACCTGGCCCAAGCGCCGGCGGCATGGGCAGGGGTGGGGCGCGCCGACGGGGCTCCCGGCCAGCAGTGCCCGGGGCCGGGGTGGTGACGGCGTGGGTCCGGCCCAGCCGCCAGCCACTTCCTCACCCCGGCCGGCGCCACCTCGCGGGTCGGTGCCGGGCAGCCCCGGTTTGAATGAGAGTCGGGGCCACGCGGCCCGGTCCCTGGATAGAGGGTCTCGCCAGCGCCGACGTTCGGGGTTCCTGCAGCCGAGGGGTCCTGCGCGGGTGGCGCGGTCCCTCCTGATCGCCTCTGCCGAGCTCGCTGACCCTGGGGACCGCACTTCCCGTATTACACAGGTGGTGGGGCGCGGGAGCGACTCCGCGGAAGGCGTAGCCCGTCCCCAGAGACGCTCGGAGTTTCCAGGGAATTCGGGAGTCCCTCCCGCGCCCCACGATCGTGCGCAGGAGCCTGTGTGCGCGCCTGTGCGATTCACGTTTGGGAACCCCAGAGAGGTCACTGCCCTCGTAGCGGAAGAATTCGAGGGTGGGATGGGTCCCTTTTGCACAAGGCCTTTGGTGCCCGGACTCCGTCGGAGGCGGGGCCCAGTCCTTTTGGCACCTCGTTTTGAATTTAGTGAGAGGCTGGTGGGGCGAGGGAGTGACACGGCAAAAGGGAAACAGGTGGCCTCCTCAGTCAGAACTTAATTTGAATTTCACTTCCATCTGTGTGACCTGGGGTACCTTGAAGAGCCCTCTGAGTCTTGGTTTCTCCCCTAAATACTGCAGGTCTCCAAGCCCGCTTCTCAGGGCTGGGTTGAGAACTGGAGCCCATTCCATGGGAAGGGTACTCTGGCAGTTTCCACCCCTGGCCAAAGGCCTTTGCATAGGTGCGGACCATCGTCCTTATTGTTAGACCTGCAGGGAGGCTTTACAGAATTGGATGTTCACGTTGGCCCCAAGTAGTGGTCCTGATTGCTAACTGGTGTGGGCCAGGGCTTCGCATTACCAGCCTCACTGATGCTTAAATTGCCTAATGCTGGTGCTGCCTCCCCAACCAGGCCAGGTGCAGCAGGCGGAGGAGGAGCTAAAGCAGGGTCCCCATGAATAGCCCCTCTGCACCCTCTTGGTGGAGTCAGTGGAAAACTACTGGTGAGAAAATTTTTGGAAACATTTCTTAGCTTAGAAAATGGTTAAAAACTCAAAAAAAGAAAAGGGTATCCTTATGTCACCACTTTAATGAACATAAAATGGAGTCATCCCTTCTCCTAGCCTCCACTGGTGACCCCTTTCTTGGGTTTGTAAACAGACAGCTTTTAAGGAAATGTAATTTAAGTCAGGGGCTCGCAACTTGCCTGTCCAGTAGTTCATGAATCTTTCCACATCAAATTGCTTATAGATCTCCCTCCTTCTTTCAGTGGCTCCCCAATTCTTTTGTGTGCATCTTCCATTCAGAGATCCCTCTCCCCACCCCGTGATGAGCAGTGGAATTGTTTACTGTTTTTTTTTCTTTTTCTACTACAAATAACCCTTCGGTGAACTTCCCCGTGTCTCTTTTTGCACACGTGTTCTTGCTGGATCAGAGAATATGCATGTTTCATATTTTAAAAGATTCTCACAGGTTGCCCTTAAAAAAAAAAAGAAAAAGTTGAACCAAGGTCCGCTTGGGCTGTGGCGGCCCACACACTCAGTTCCTTCTATGAAAATCTCCGATGCAGCAGTGGCTGGGGCCTGTAGGAGGGAGGGCAGGCACTGCTCAGGCTTCCGCTGGGCCAGATTTTAACAGAAATTGTTTCATGAAATCCTGTACTGCCCCAAATATGTGAAGGGCTTTGAAGAGAAGAAAGCTTCTGTTTCTTGGGCTGGGGTTCTTGTGTATCAAGTTCACTTTAAAGCAAAGGACATGAAATGTAAAATTGACAAGACCTCTCATTATATCTCAGCCATGTTTGTATTTACACTGTAAATCATATCGCACAGTTCCCCTTCGAGGGTGAGAAACAAAACAACAGCAACAAATAAAAGGATTTCCAGGCTATTTCATTTTTTAAAATAAAAAAGCAGAAACAAAATGGAGATTGCCTGGTGACTTGTGCTCCTCCTTGGGGTCAGGGCCTTGGAGATCTTGCCCTAGGTGCTAAAGCATGGAACTCTGGAAGCCCGAGCTGAGAACCGGCTGGTTTTGGTGGTTGACTCTAAAGATCTTTGGCTGAAAGGCTCTGTTGGCAACATCAAAGAGTTGGTGCTGATGGCTGAGCTGATCCACGGGCTTCAGAGTGAGGAGTAACTGGATTCTGGGGAAGGTTAAGTCCAAGTCTCTCCCAGGGTCAGAGTTGGAAAGACCCAAGTTGCCCTGGCCACTTAGCAGTGGGGAGCTCGGGAGCCGTGTGGCCTTGGACAAGTCCCTTAACCTCTGTTGAAAGGGGTAGGGGCTGCCAGTTTAGTTAATATCTGGCCGGATTCTGCCATGGGACTCTGAGGTTTAGAAGGCAGGTGCTGAAGAATGAGGGGCGTGGCACTCAGACTGGGTTCCCGGTCTTGCACCGCCCCTGGTCTGTGACCTTGAGCAAGTGATTTCCTCTCAGGACTTTCATTTTCCCCTCAGGCATTTCTCATTGAGACAGCTGAGATGGACAGGTGTGGCACCTGGGGAGGGCCGGTCACGGGTGCTTCCCAAGGGTGAGCTGGGCATGGGGCACCCCGCTCATTCCTTTTCCTGGCTGATGAGCAGGAGGTAACTTCGGGCTCCCTGAGGAGATGCATTTGAGTGCTCTGCAGAGTTCTTGGCGTCCCTCCTGGGCCCGCCCCAGTCTTTGCTTAGTTGGTTCTTCTGGTTGAAATCTCATTCCCTCCTGGCTCATCTTTTTTTAAAGATGGGATCCAGAGCTCCCCCAGAAGGTTTCTCTGAGCCTTCTAAGCTCCTAACCCCACCCCAGACCAACGTGGGGATCTTCTCCCTGCCCTGTGGCCCATGTGTGTCTCTGTGGCTGCACTTGGCTCTGCCTTAAGGTTGTCAGGTGCTCACCTGGCAGAGAGCAGGTGCAATTAGTGAGTTTATGCAATGCTAGCACACCCCGAAGGTGGCTCTGGTTAGGGCATGCAGTGGAAGGAGGAAGGGGCAAAGGGCAAGGCCTAGCCTCTCCCCATTTCCCCTCATTTGCATCCTGTTGGCATGGAGTTGGACGTTTGGTTAATGTATGCACCAACGGGCTGATTAATGTTAACTGAGACCCTGCTACGTGCCGCCAGTGGCGCACACACTCTAGCATCTCTACCAGCTGCTCCTTGAGGGCAGTTTGCCCCAGGTTACAAGCGAGGGGCCACAGATTTTGAGCAATTTAACTGGAGGCTGAGAAGTTTGGAAGGCCATACCGCCTGGTGGACCTCTGCTGCTCACTTCCTGGTCTCTGGGCTGGGAAAGTTCTCTCTATTGCTACTTTGTAACCTTGGAGGTTACAGAGTAACAACAACTCTGGGATTTGGAGAAAAGGGAGGAGATAAGGACACACAGAACAATTGATGGTAATAGTCATATTGGCTAAATCTAAGGAGAGTCATTGTTTTAAGGGCCTGAGACATAGCATCTTGTTTAATCCTTATAAAAGATAGATAATGTTAGATGTTTTTTTTTTTTTTTTTTTAAACAGGAGTGAGAATGAGGTCCAGGGGGTTTAGGAGACTTCTTGTAGTGGCAGCCAGCTAGCAAGGTGGGCCCTGGTGGTCCAGCTCCCCTCACTCTTAGATGCCACCTCAGGGGACAGTCACTGTGCCTTTGGACATTTGGGGCAGGTTAGTGGGGGAGGTGCAGAGTGAGGGCTCAGGGAACTACTGCAGGATTTGAGCAGAGGAGTGTCATGATTTGATTCATGTTCTAAATGATCCTTCTGACCACTGGACTGGTGACCACAGGGGGCCAGGGCAGAGGCAGGCAGACCAGGGATGGTTAGAAATTCCCTAGCAGGATAGAAAAGGCCGGTGGGGTGGGTGCAGTCTTGGCTGCTTTGGCTAGTCAAATAATTCTACAGGGAGAGAAGGGGTCACCACCACCATGCTGGGGTGATTTGGTTATTCAAAGCCCGCTTGACAGTTGGGTCATTGAGATTGGGGGCTCCTCCCATACCTGACTTCATTTAAACCTCTGTGGCCTGCCTAGACTCTTTGAGTGGCCAGAGACTCTCCATCTCCAGAACCTTTTCTTAAAGTGCATCCCGATAGGCCTGACTTCCATGACCTGTTACCTAAGCAACCCCTCAGTTATTAAAAGCGACTCACCCCTTTATTCTGCTCTTCCAGCCTCCTATTTCTCCTGCCTTCTCCCACCTCCCCGGAGGGACCAATGATGCCCACCATGGTCAACGTGGACGCTCTTCCAGAATACGAGAAGAGTCAGATCAAGAGAGCCCTGGAGCTGGGGACAGTGATGACCGTGTTCAGCTTCCGCAAGTCCACTCCTGAGCGGAGGACAGTGCAGGTGATCATGGAGACGCGGCAGGTGGCCTGGAGCAAGACTGCCGACAAAATCGAGGGCTTCTGTGAGTACCAGCTGGGGAGGCTGAATGTTGGTTTCGCATCTTTGATGTAAGCGAGGGCTGGGGGTCAGAGGTAGAGCTCCTGCCTAGCACAGGGGAGGGTCTGGGTTCCATTCCCAGCACCCTTGGAACAAAACACACGGACCCCAGTGTTGCCACTTGTCAGGGGTCTTGGGGAGTGGGGGGAGGTCTAGAGCAGGTGGGGCAGCGAGCCAGGAAAGTCCTGGGAAGTCCCAGAGGCCCAGCTGCCTACTTGGAAATGACATTCGGCCAGTGTTGGGGATGGCAGCTGTCGGGGCTGGTGGAGCCCAGCTTGCTGAGACTCCCAGCTGGGGGCTGATGCCTGCTGGGCTTTGCTGCAGCCCAGGCCTTTGCTTCTGTGTCCAGGGGCTGAGAGCATGTCATTGAACCCTCTGTCACTTTCCAATAACCTTCTGGTCCTGGTGGAGGTCCCTGTCCTTTCCCAGCCCTGGTAGATTGGGCCATTGGCTCAGTTTCTGAAGTTTCTAAGACTGTTTCTAACAAATAAGAGTAAGGGCACTTCAACCATTTGCAGTTGCAGAATATTGCTTTAATTTTTATTTTTATTAACTGCTTTTTAATTGAAGAGTTAAGCTGTACTCTTGGGAGTTGGGAGTCAACTTATAAATGTCTTTTCCCCTGCTACCTCCCCCAGGCCCCAGAGGCAAGCTCATTACCAGTTTCTTTTGTCTTCCAGAAATATCCTGTGCTTTTGTAATGGGAGATTTTTTAAAAATAATTAATTTATTTTAATTAAGTATATGTGGCAGCAGAATGCATTTTGATTCATTGTATACAATTGCAGCATACCTTTTTCTCTGGTTGTACATGATGCAGCTCACACCCTATGTGCAGTCATACAGGTATCTAGGGTAATAATGTCCATCTCATTCCACCATTTTTCCTGCCCCCATGCACCCTCCCACCCCCCCTCCCCTTTGCCCAGTCAGAGTTCCTTCATTTTTCCCAAGCCTCCCCGATCCCTGTTATGGATCAGCATCCACTTATCAGAGGAAACATTTGGCTTTTGTCTTTTGGGGATTGGCTTACTTCGCTTAGCATGATATTCTCCAACTCCATCCATTTACCTGCAAATGCCATAATTTTATTCTCTTTTAATGCTGGGTAATATTCCATTGTGCATATATACCACAGTTTCTTTATCCATTTATCTATTGAAGGGCATCTAGGACCCCAACTTCCTTAATAAGACTCCTAAAGCGCAAGAAATAAAATCAAGGGTTAATAAATGGGATGGACTCAAACTAAAAAGCTTCTTCTCAGCAAAAGCAACAATCAGTGAGGTGAAGAGAGAGCCTACATTTTGGGAGCAAATTTTTGCCACACGCATGTCAGATAGAGCAATAATCTCCAGGATATATAAAGAACTCAAAAAACTTAACACCCCAAAAACAAACAACTCAATCAATAAATGGGTGAAGGAGCTGAACAGACACTTCTCAGAAGATATACATACATTCAATCCACAAATATATGAAAAAATGTTCATCTCTAGTATTTAGAGAAATGGAAATCAAAACTATTCTAAAATTTCATCTCATGCCAGTCAGAATGGCAGTTATCAAGAATACAGGAAAAAAAAAAAAGAATACGACAACAATAAATGTTGGTGAGGATGTGGGGGGAAAGGCACACTCATGCATTGCTGGTGGGACTGTAAATTGGTCCAATCGATTGGAAAGCAGTATGGAGATTCCTTAGAAAACTTGAAATGGAACCATCATTTGACCCAGCTATCCCATTCCTTGATCTATACCCAAAGGACTTTAAAATCAGCATACTACAGTAATGCAGCCACATCAATGTTCTTAGCAGCTCAATTCACAAGAGATTAAAAAAAAAAAAAAAAAACAACTCCACAAATGAGAACTACTAGGTAACATTTCTGTACCTTCATTTCTTTTTTCACTTGGGAGTGGTTCCTTATCAGGGTTGCCTCATTCTTTCCCAGCCTCATAGCATTCCAGAGCATGGTCACAGTGTACAGCTCAGCCCACAGATGGGCATTTTGTGCTGTTTCTAGGCATTTATTACTAGCTGCAGTAGCTACCCCTGCGTTCTTCAAAGAAAGGAAAAGCATTTTTATTGAGATAATTGCCATATCTTACATACAATTCACCCATTTAAAATGAACAGTGCAGAACTCTTAGAATATTCACAAATATATTCAGTAACCACAACAGTCAGCTTTAGTACATTTCGTCTCCCCAAGAAGAGATCCCTTGTCCAAATCGTCATAGTGCACGCACATACAAATACGCAATAATAAATCCCATCGTTATGTGTAATGATAATGCACCAATAAAAAATAGATTAAGAAAAGAGACCCCATGCCTGTTAACCATCCCACTAACCTCAGCCCTAACTTACTGTTTAAATTTCCCTGTCCTAGATGTTTCCACACAAATGGGATTCTATCATGATCTTTTGTGACAGGCTTAGTACAATGTTTTCAAGATTTATCCTCTTTGTGGTATGGGCCAATCATTCCTTTTTACAGCTAAATAATATTCTATCATAGAGATATTCTACACTTGGTCTCTCCATTCATCTGTTGATGGACATTTGGGTTATTTCCACCTTTTGGCTAATGTGAATAATGCCGCTATGGATATTTGTGTAAGAGTTTTTTTTTTTTTTTTGATACTGAGGATTGAACTCGGGGGTACTCCACCACTGAGCCCTACCTCCCAGCCCTATTTTGTGTCTCTGAGTTGCTTAGGGCCTTGCTAAGTTGCTGAGGCTGATTTGAATTTTGCCATCTTCCTGCCTCAGCTTCCTGAGCCACTGGCATTATAGGCATGGGCCACTTCGCCTGGCTGTGTACGAGTTTTTGTGTAGATGTATGTTTTCTTTCTTTGGGTATTTACCTAGGAGTGAAGATGCTGGGCCACATACTAACTAGTTTAGTCATTTTAGGAACTGCAAGATTCCAAAGTGACTGTACATTTATGTTGCCACCCGCGGTGTGGTGTCCTTGCATTATTATGTGCACATATGACCATCGGTGGGGCCGGCTTTCTGGGAGACTTATGAGAGTTCGAGGGTACAGTGTATTTCAACCTTAAAGGGCGGCCTGGCAACACCTCACAAGAGATTGCTGCATGTTCCACTTCAGCCACGAGTTCCGCGAGAGCCCACACCCTCCCCCACATGCCACCGGCTTCTGCACTTGGCCATGCACAGGTGGATTCTGACAGCTTGGCGTGGTTCTGAATTTGATTTCTTGTCACCAGTGAGGCTGACGAGCTTTCTGAAAGGTTCCTCTGGCGTCAGAGACTGCAGGTCTCAGGTGACATCTGGAAGCCCTGCTTTGAAAGGGCCCTATGTTTAGGCAGTGAGTTCCCACCGGCCTTCCCCACCTCCCAGGCAGCCAAGACTTGCAGCTGTGGCGGGGTCCTGCGGGATGGGAGGGAGACGCTGAGGTGGATGCGGTGTGCCACATGGAGAGTGGGCCGTGGGCTCCTTCTCTTGAAGACCTGCAGGCTCCAAGCCTGGCTGGCCCGCAGAAACACCAGCTAGGGTATTAAAGTTCCTGTCGCTGGAACCTTCTCCAGAAGCTTATTCTAATGCACACGAGGTGGGATTTTGCTTGGAATGCCCACCCTGCCTTTTAGACGGTCATCAGAACCCCAGTGTAGGTCTGGGTGACACCTACACCTGACCAATGCACCTGGGTGACATCTAAGGAAGTGAATGGTTCACAGCCGTGGTGATTTTACCTCCCCCCTGCCCAACAGGACATTCGGCAGAGTCTGGTGGTGTTTGGTGGTCACAGCTGGGGACACAGTGCTACAGCATCTGTAGTACAGAGGCCAGGGATGCTGTCTGGGGATGCTCAAGACAGGCCCCAGGACAAAAAATTACCTGGGACAAAGTACTGGTGGTTCTGAGGCGAGAAACTGCTCAAAGTCCTGTGCTTGCCTCGCTTAGAGCTTTGGAGTGTCACCGGGTGAAATGGGTTTTCTTTTTTTTTTTTTTTTTTTTAAAGGCTTACTTATTTTTATTGAAAAACAATTGTACTGGAAAACCTTGGGAATAAAAGTTGCCGCTTATTCTGTTACTAATAAAACCACACACAAACTCCACACCTGCATTCCACCACGCCAGCTCCAAGGTGGCAGTCCACCTTTCTCACCCACTTCGAGAGGGAGCTGAAGCACAGAGCCAAGGTCACACCACGGGCAATGGCAGAGCTGGGAGAAATGGGTTTTCTTTAGACTCTGCAGAGGAGGGAGGATGGAGTTCCAGCCCGTAGGAGTGGGTGACAGATGCTGAGTCCAGCCACTGAAAGACCACGTGATTGGTAGCACAGCTAGGTTGAGCGCCGGATACCAGGCAAGCAGAGAAGGTTCTCCCCTTCTGGGGTGGGGACCAGGTGGGGAATGGAGGAGGCCTCTGATGGAGTGTGGTGAGTGAGGTAGAGATTGGCCAGGTGTCTGGTGGGTGCCGTATGATGCAGATGGGGCTGAGATCTGGACCAGCCCCACTGGGTGAGTCATTTTTTTTTTTTTTTTTGGCCTGGGCTATGGTCATTTGTGGTGCTCAGCTGGTATGTCACCTGGTCTGGAAATTTCCAGAATCCTCACTCACACATGTGGTACCTTGGTGTGGAAGGCTGGAAGGGCTCAGTGAGACTAGCTGACCAGGGGCTTACCACATAGTGGGGTGGAGCAGCAGCTGCGAGGCATCTTAGGACGGCCTTGGAAGTCCTAGGAAATTCCTTGCACGAGCTCAGGTCACTAAGCCGGCTCAGGTTAGTACAGGGGTGCTCCCCTTGGAGAGGGAGTGGCGTGTCATCCAGGGTGGGCAACATGCTGTCACAGGACCTGCAATTCTAAACCTGGAATTGTGGCTCACGTTCCTGCTGTGCCACTGGCTGGAGGTGTGGCTGGAAGTGGACATGCCACTCCATGTCCTGTTTCCGTGTCCATCAAGTGAGGTCCTGGTAGTTTCTATCC